CAAAGCAGCGCTGTGCTCATAAGTGCTGCTTTATCGAGGGGTAGCTGCAGCCTGGAGCAATGGACATACCGAAAGCAGGCATTCCGAAAGGTGAATCAGTAAAACAGAAACTAACCCTACCCCCACACCCGGACAGACAGCTTTGCCGACCTATCATGGAGACCTTTCTCCACGCCCCTACCTTTCGCCACACCCATTACTCCAGCCTGCAGTTATCCCTACTTGGCTTTATCAGGCATTAAAGGAAAGATGAAATGAAAATGAAAATGCCATCAACACTTTTCTGAAGACAGTCGGCTCCCTTCAGAGATGCATTCATATAAAAACACCCATGCTGCGTTTTGACTTTAAAACACGGAGCGCCCAAATTTCTTCCATGAAATCACAGCCTTTTGAAGTTTTATCATCACATTAAGCTATATTGCTATTCTTGTCTTTCCGTCCCCAATTGAAGAAATCTTGAAATTCTAATTAAGACTTTTCTTATACTATATTTAAGACTTTTATGGCCTTAAATTTGAAACCACTACACTGAAGACTTTTAAGGACCCGCAGGAACCCTGTATTAAAGATAGCCCGTCAGGCAGGGGATCATACATTTTGGTAGCCCGACTGGAAGACACAATAGCCCCAGGATGTCGGGCTAGAGTTTTTGCAAGCCCTACCATGCACACATTCTCTCTCTCTCTCTCTCTCTCTCTCTCCTTTCTGTCTTTCTGTTTGGCCTCTTGTTATCATGTTGCTCTGATCCATTTACGTGTAACTTTTGCAGCACAATGCAACGAGAGAATTCCTGTGCCGAACTCGATCCGACTTGTCCTACCCTTGCAGTATTCATCATCATCTTCTCTCCCTGCTTTAGCCATAGACACCATTTTACTCTTTAACTCTGCTATAATTCTTGTCCAAATTCAAAGAAAAAAAAACACAACCCAAAGTGTACTGATGAAACATATCAGCCGCAAAAACACCCATTTTCTAACAGGATGTAAAGACAGGAAGCCTGATCACATGATCATATCTAAATATTTAATGCTGTTATATTTAGGTGCAGACTGCCTTTAACTTGTCTTAGGTCATTTAATCAGGTTTGATGTCAAGTGTGTATTATTAATGGCATGGATATGATGTGTACTCTCAAGTGTTGTCATTTCTGAAATGTCAAACCATCGACATCAGGATATACTGTGTAGTTTGATGTGATCAAGTTAAATTACACTATACTGTTCAATAGTTTGTGGTCAGTAAGATTTTTTTTTTTTTTTAATGTTTTTGAAAGAGGTCTCTTGTGCTCACCAAGACTGCATTTATTTGATTAAAAATACAGTAATTCAGTAATATTGTGAAATATTATCCCAATTTAAAATAACTGTTTTCTGTCTGAATACATTTTAAAATGTAATTTATTCAGTCTTTAGTGTCACATGATCCTTCAGAAATCTTGTTAATATGCTGATTTGATGCTCAAGAAACATTTCATTATTATCAGTATTGACAACAGTGGTGCTGATTTAATATTTTTTGTAAACTGCTCATGATTGTTTGATAAATAGAAAGTTCAAAAGAACAACATTTATTTAAAATAGGAATGTTTTGAATGACAAATGTCTTTACTGTCACTTTTGATGAATAATGCAACCTTGCTGAATAAATGTATTCATTTCTTTAAAAACAAAAAAAACTTTTGATTGGTAATGTATTCGATAAAGTCATAATATAAAGTATTATGCAAATTGTGCAATGAGATGTGATTCCATTCTCTTTTATAAACTGATCTTCACTGGCTGTTTACTGATTAACCACCAAACAAGTATTTCAATGTGACTGTGTTTGGCTGTATTCATAGTGCATCTACATTTCCTTCTCATCTGCAGTCTGGCCTGATCTTCTGCTGTGTACTGGTAGATCAGAGAGGATGAGCTTCTGGTTAATCCCTGTAGAGCGGTGATCAGACACACGATGATACTAGTCATGGCCATTTACAGGCCAGGCTGCATGTAGAGCGGAAGAGGAAGTTGTTTGAAATATGTGAGTGGGTGTGTGCCTGTGTGAATATGTGAGAAGATGGGTAATAAAGATTGTGGGTCTTCATACTAAGGTCTTAAAGTTAGCTATAAAGTAGGGCTAGAGTACATGGAATCTTTAGACTTTTTTTCAATCTGCACTTATTGTAGGAGCAAAAAAATACAAATTTCGATGTTTTAAAATGTAAATATGGTAAAATGTGTTCAACTGATGACACTAGTAAATGAAAGCATTATCAGGTTAACCAAAATGTCTAAGAGATAAATATGCAAGTAGTTGTTGATGATGTTCAGAATCTTCGGAAAACTGCTGAACTTGCTCCAGAATTCTGTGGGCTCAGATACCAAGCAGGTGTAGTCATAGGTTAATTGTTTTTCTTTGAAAATCAGCTGGCTGACCTACTGTTTTAGTGGCTTGGCATGTAGTGAAGTGTTCACCAGAATTGTGCCTGAGATGCAAATGCTCTCACAGGGCCCAACCTCCATCTTAGCTAGCCTGCACCCTGCCCTACTGTAACCCCTGAAACAGGCCCAGCTGTGAGACAAACACTCCTCCCCACATTCACACATAAAGTGCTCACAGCTGGAGTTTCTTCTCCCTCACTCTTCCTCTCAGCAACTTGATTATTCTTCTCCAATATACACAAATGTCTGTTCATTTTTGCCTCTTTATGTGTCTTGATGATCTTTAGAGCTAGAGCTATGTTTAGAATGAAGCAGAATGTGGGTGTCTTTAGTTTAGCCAGAGACGGAAGGAGAGATGTTGGTCATAGCCAACAATTATTAAAAACATGTGTGAATTAGAAATGTGCATTTTGGTAATTTTGACTACTTAAGTTCTGTTTTTTTTTCTTAAATTGTTAATATATAATTTAATAACAATGTTACATTTTTAAATGAATATCCATGTTCCACACTGTATATTATAATGTGATGATGCCTAAATTTGTTTGTAGCATTCAAGCACTTTTAGAAAGTAACTTTTAAAGGTACTATATAAAATAAATGTATTGTAGACAACTGATTTGAATGGTTAGTGTTTTATTTTAAATGTATTTAGTCAATATAGTATAGAATTGTAGTGTACTATTGGCCATTTATTTGTTATCTGCCATAATAAATAATTTTTCAATAAATAATTATTTTCTACCATAAATAATTATCATGTTAACCAAAATTGACATATTTGTGCTTCCCTTATTACTATCATCCCAATAAAGTGTGTTCACACCAAGAATGATAACTTTAAAGATCCACAGCAGTGTTCTGTCAACATGCCATTCTGTTTATTATATAAGCCCATTCTGCAGTTATGTCATCTGGCGCTTTAAATTTGGATGGATTCTGACTCAACTGTCAATGTTTTCATTGTTCTTTTGCTGGGGGGGAAAATCTGAAAGATTATTAGGGATGCACCGATATGAACATTTTGGCCGATACCGATAACCGATAAGTCTTTATTTTTGAAAGCCGATAACCGATATGTTGGCCGATAAATCTATATCCAAATTTTTATATACTTTTTGAGAGCCTGATTACAAAAAAGATCTCATCATTAAAACCCACATCCCAAACACTTCAACATAAGCAGCCTAGTTTGATTATCGACCGATACCGATATGGTGGCCGATATATCGTGCATCCCTAAAGATTATATTATATTATTATAACTTTATAGTTATTGTTATCATTATAGTTATTGTCCTTGGCATAAATGTCTAATGACATTAGATTCATTCTAAATGCTCAAAAGCTCAGCATATAAACTAGAATTACTGGTACTAGTGAGTATTATTAGTGCAAACAAAATGTATTCGTGACTGTCTTTCCAAAAACCTGATGTTTCTGTATTCTGAAAGCCTGGGTTTCTTCCTGGTACAACTGACTTTGATGAACTTGTGCTCTTTTCCTGTTTGTGTAAAAAAAAAAAAAGAGCAACCGTTCAGGATTCTCAGCATGCGTATGCACACTCTGTACATGGTAAAGGTTTATGTGACTGTTAATCAGCACAACAGGTCATTTCTTTTAATAGGGCATCATTTTTCTTCCAACATGAAAGGAGAGTCATAGGAGAGGGCTTTCCCTGGAAAGCCGTTAGGAAGGGGCTCAAGTTTGTGTTACCTAAGTGGTCAGCAATCCAGAAGTTGCTACTGAACTAATAAGAAACTGCTGCTGCATTGTGGAGGATTACAGCTTGTTTGTTTGGCAAACAAAAAAAAAAAGTGTTTCTCTGTCTATTACATGGAAAATATATCACAGTAGTGTAGGGGTGTGCGATATATATCGTCTGCGATAATATCGTAATTGTTGTTTTAACGATGTGCGATTTGACATTATCGAGTATTTTGCAAAAACCATTCAAAACATCCCTACAGAGCGCACGCATACATTACGTGAAGTCTAGACTAGTGCGTGTGCGCATTTAGTGTGTTTTCTTTCACTGCATGATTCAGTCTATTAAAATGCATTTAGAATGATCACAAATTCAAGACATGATGGCAGAAATTTTATATATTTATACCACTTCATATAGTTATTCAATTTCACACGAAGAGTGCCGTTTTTCTCCAAAATAATTTTCTCCAATGATTACAAATGTGACATTGAATTCAATAAACAATAAGTTAATTAAGAGACTTACGTTTTAGACACCATATTTCTTGTTTTTGCTCTATTTCGCCAACAAAAATCATTCCGAATACAGCCACAGCGCTGCACACCCCTACAGTAGTGTCATTTATTTCGGTTTAGCTCTTAAACATTTGGGTTGTTAGCAGAGAAGAATATGGACATATACTGGAGTGGAGTATAGAACAAAACAAACCAATAATACTTGTCAAACACAAGTACCAACCCTTCCTTTTAATGTATGTTTTTAATATTTAAATTGAGTTCAAATTTGAGCTAATCATCCATTGCTCAGCTGATTGTGTTTTTCCTTCCTCTAAATTTCACTTCCTTATTCCCTCTTTACAGGTGAAATAGTTGTGAACGAGGCTAACTTTGTAAGGAAGTGCATCAGTGCAGAAAGCTGTCAGGATGACCTCTGGGGGAAACTTGTGTGTACTAACTTCAAAGTTTCCTTCATTACCCATAATTCCTTGCCACGACAGGTAAGCACAGACTTATCTGAGAGTCAGTACTTCGACTTGATTTGACTGCATTTGACTGCGACAATAAGCAGTGATTATGGCATAGAATATTATTAAACACAAAACATGCTTTTGGTTTATAATATGACATTTTATTGTGTTCTCACAACTTTAAAAAAGATAGATGAATACATAAAAAGCGAAATGAAATGAAAGTAAAAAAAAAAACATGTTTTTGTTAAGTTTTTATAAAATGTATCCGAGTCATTTGAAGAATTGCTGACTTTAACAATTCTGCTAGCAGAAAATACATGTGTGACTTTTATTTAGCTTGCTCTGCTGTTTTCAGCGTGCAATGGAAATAATTAACCTTCTAGCCCTGAAACATCTCCTATAGTTAAAATAAAAAAAACTTTTCAGGATCTGAATGTAGGTGTAGGATTGTGAGCATCGTGGCTGTGTAGACTTAGAGAATTAATCTACACAGTAAATCAATAGATTTGTCTGTCTTTTGCACTATAATTTGAATTTATTTATTTATTTATAACTGATCATGACAGTGTTTTGATAAAGCCAGAGTGTGTAAACATTTTGAGGAAACACTACTGTTGGCTTGCATTCACTGTGGTTGACTCAATAAACTGGAAAGGACACAAAGGGCAGTCGTGGCCTAATGGTTAGAGAGTCCTTTTGTAACCCAAAGGTTGCGGTTTCAAGTCTCAGGTCTAGCAGGAATTGTCAGAGTGGGGAGTGAATAACCAACGCTCTCTTCCACCCTCAATTCCATGACTGAGGTGAGACCCTTGAGCAAGGCACCGAACCCCCAACTGCTCCCCGGGCGCCGCAGCACATGGCTGCCCACTGCTCCGGGTGTGTGTTCACTACTGTGTGTGTGCACTTGAATGGGTTAAATGCAGAGCACAAATTCCGAGTATGGGTCACCATACTTGGCCACACTTCACTTCACTTTCAACTTTAAGTATTGAGAAAAGAAGGTCCACAATATATATGTGAAGATATAGGTGAAACAGATTACAGTATTATAATTTATACAATATAATACAGTTCTTTTTATATTGGTGTCATGAGTATTACTCCCTACTAGATTGGATATAAATGAGTCGTATAAGGAGGGAAATACATTTCAGACTCATGTCAGGCAAAATAATCCAAGGTTCTTTTCCAGAGCAGTGAAATCTGTTACACATATTAACCTGTATAGTCACTCCTTCCTCTTAAGCAGCTCACAAGTTAAACATGTTAATAATCTCCCTCAGTCGACCGATGATCAGCTGATTTACTAGGGAAAGAAGGTCAATTATTATTACAGTCCTTAAAAGCTAATACAGGTCACCCATTACACTGGTTCATACACTGGCTAGCTGTAGCTCATGAGGTTCTCTTTACTGGATAACATCAACAAACAGACTGAAAGCAAATGAATGAAAAATTATCCTTGTCTGTTTTATTGTTTACAGAGATTCCAGTGCACCCACCGCCTCTTGGGCGAGCACGATATCCCGCTGGCTTGCGTGGAGCAGGTAGTAACAGGTAATTCAACAGCACATGAACACACTCCACCACACTATAGGGGGGGTATGGGCATTTAGTATGTGCAAGAACGCGATTACAAGATCATGTTCAGTGGTGGTGGTGATATTCGCAATGCCCCCCCCCCCCCCCCCCCCCCCCCCACCAGACTTTTTTTATGTGTGTTTTTTAAAATAGTGAATGATGTTAAGGGGAAGCAGAAGATTTTAGGTTCCAATCAGAAGCTGAAATTTAACCCTACTGAGCTTATCCTCTACTGCAAAGACTTCCGCATCATCCGATTCCGCTTTGATGAAGCCGGACCCGAGAGTGCTAAAAAGGTACAAAACACACACACATAAAATAATTAACCTCTCAGCCTCTTGCACCCAAACACACTTGCACATGTTCACACACCTCTGCGTTCCTGGCGCTTTTGGATTAGTCTGAGAGAGGATTAAGGGCTAATGTGTTTGGCTGCAGCCCCCCGCTGAAGTCTGGGTGTTTTTTCCCCTGAAGTAAAATTGTAAACAAGTACAAGAAATTCCTACATGTTATTGGTTCCCATCCTGGAATGAAGTGGAATTATGAGTTGTAAGGCTGGGTTTTGACACAAATTTCACGGTTCGATTCGATTCTCATTCACAAGCTTGCGATTCGATTCGATTACCG